AACCGCGATTTTCTCATTCCTTCGGATACCAAACGATCGGACGGTATATCTGGCCTTCGAGAAGACCGGTTGTTGTCCCGTCAACTGTTCCAACACTTTGGACGCTCGCGTCAGTCTGTCCCCCGACTCTCCCACACAGATATTGAGACACAGTTTGCGGATCCGCACCTCTCGCATAGGGTTGTTCGCCTTGTCCTTCCTCTTAGTCTTTGTCTTGACGACAGACTTGGTCTCCGTTTTGCCCTAAATATCATTCAAATGGTTAACAATTTTATCACAAAAATATAGTAATGTCTTCGGCATGGAGTGACACGAAGACATGTTGCAGTTTTGTTCATAGTATAGGCACTTCTAAACAGATTGTTGTGATGATAGCACACAATCTGCCATAAACTGTGCCGAAGATCACCACTACTTCACCAACACTTCCATCACTTGTAAAGCGATTCCAAGTGTTGATCACAAGTAGCGGCGATTTTGTGATCCCTTCAAACATGAATAATGCATGAAATGGACACCAATTGTCTCGTCAAGACATACTCACAGGCATTGTCTGACGAGTGAATGGATTTAAAAGTGATATAAATAGTAATCAATTGAATTGAATTGAATTAAATGAAAGACAAGTGAAGACACGTTACCTTTGAAGACATGATCGCAGGAAAAGGAAATCTATTTCTTCATGTGTTTGTCTCAAAGGCAACCATTGGCTCCACTGTAGGGCTTTAAACGCAGCCGCAAATCAGTACTTTTGTACGCACAGTAACTCACTTTGCTATGCATATATAAAAAGGGCACAAATCGACGCAATGAGAAAAGTTTACATTTTGGGCTGAGTTTCTGATTGAAAAAGTGAAGCAAAACTGAATGTAAATAAACAGTGATTTGATTGAAGCCTCCCTTCAGTCAAACATTTGACTGCTATTGAGTGCTAAGTCTTCGTCCGACTGGAGACAAGTGGATGTGATCGCGATGTCCGACACAACGCATACAGATTCAGACCTCACGAAGAAGACTAAGAAAAGTATTCATCCATTGTTTCATTCATTTTAGACTTTAATTAACATTAATTTAACGCTTTTTCTGAAAGCATGCGAAAAGATTTCGGAAAACCTGTATATCTTAGGCAATGAGCCATCGCTGGCCTGTTATCGGATCCAAGAGCACTGCCATAAATCTGTTCCACAACTGGTCGACAAAATGGTTGCAATGATTGTCTTATTTGTGTATTCAATGCATTAATTGCTGTCTATTTGGACACCGATTTAAAGGGAGATATGAAGCGAATCCAGAGCCGATTGAAAGGAAACTTCTATGACTTGGAGTACTCCATAAGTGCCCTGAAATCCATGTCCGGCACCGAACAGTACTTCCAGAACGTCCAGGAATTGCTTAAGAACTCAGTCTTTCTGAAGCAACAAATCGATTACGAAGAGAGTGTACGACAGAGGGTTTTGGCGACCGCTGGGGCCGCCTCTTCGGCCAACCATCCCATCAACGCATCCAATCGACGCGCGTTTCAGCGCTTTTCGGGTTCTTTCGATTTGCCGACGTCTCTGATCCCGGCGTCCATCGCCAGCGTCACCTCCAGTGCCAGCGCTGACCTCAAAGACCTGCGAAATGTGATCAATCAGTTCACGTCGACCCCAACGGTGGTCAAGAGGAACAGAACGGCCTCTCTTTCATCCACTCAACCACTCAAACGGCACTCAGAAATACCACAAACGAGTGGTGAGTACAGACAGACAGACCCCGACCCCACTCACAGTCAAGACAATCAGTGATTTTGTTTATTGTTTTTTAATTGTTTTTATTATTGTTTACAATTTGTGCTCATTTTCACAATTTATTATTTATTTATACATTTTTCTATCGATTAAATCAAAAAATAATTTAATTAAATAAGAAGTGATTTTAAAATAAAGATTAAATGCTTTTTAAAAACAAAATATAATGAAAACATTTATCGACTCTTAAAATCTTTCATAATTGCAATCATTCTCTAAAATATTGAAATCTGTTTTATGACATAAAATATCACACATTATATGATAACTGAAATCAATTCATATATCTTTGGAATAATAATCTTAAACACGAAGAACTGATTCTCAAATGAAAAAGCAATTATTTTTTCAAAAAACGATTACAAATAGTCGTGAATATAATATATTCACTAATATTTAGAAAATAGTATTAAATTCTAGAAAATGGTATCACTTCTGGAGAAGTGGTCACCAATTGATTGCACACTAAATGATATAATCAGGAGAAGAGCTGCGGGAATATCTTCGACTAAATTGGGGAATGAATTGATTACGAGTGAGTTTAACCGTTGCGATCATATTTAAGAGTCTTTGTGACACTCGTCGGCTAAGAGCTCTTCAAATGAAGAACTGGTGCTACTGTTTGAGCTCTTCTTGGACTTAGAACTTCTTAATCTCATTTGAATGCCTTCATTGTCGTCGTCATCGATGGCGTCAATCAACTTCTCTTGGGGTTCGTCCTCTTCGGTGTTGTCGTCTTCGCTGTCCTCTTCATTATCATCGGATCCATACAAGTGGTAGAACTGGTTCTGTTTGGCCAACGGAAACATGAAGTAAATGCTCTTCTGGTCGTACACTTCGACCGCCGGATGAGCGCAAAGATTATGTTCCTTCGGGTCAACGGATCACCAATTAATCAATGGATTCGCAAAACAAGACAATCAAAGACTTACCACAATATATGAGCGGATGATAGGGTAAACTCGTTTGATAGCAATGGCCACAGAAATGACAGACCGGAAGGGAAAGACAGTGTGGACGACGTGATCCACGTCTGGCAGTCGACCGCATGTGAAGCCTTTGCTTTCGAGGAGAGCTTTGTTGGCCTCGAAGTCCTCGGAATCGGCTCTAAGTATAACTCCGACCAGAAATCGGCAGTTATTGCGGTTGTGGTCATTGGGTTCGTCTAAGTATATGCCAAACGTGTGAAGACTGGGAACTATTGAACAGACTTCGGTGAACAGCGCCGATGCGTCCGAATAACACGACTTCAGCTTCTTGTAGGCGATCGGCTGACCCCCGAAGAGATAGGGAGGCGACCCAACCCTCACCACTATCTCGTCAAATAAGCCGAAGTACACCAACGCATACACTATTGTCGCGCATAAGGCTATCAGCAAAACCAATGCCAACAACAATAATAACAGCATTTCGGACACCAATTGTCTTAGGATTGCATTAATTAGTAACCAATCGATCACTGCTTTCACAACACATTCGTGTAAACAAAGCGAGAAATCCGTCGATCATATGATTGCCTCAAAAACCTCATGAATCGACACTTTATTCATATTTCTTATGTTATGCACTATTCCTATGATTTCCTATGCATTTACATCACATTCTTATCAATGAAGTCGTCAAGTCTTTTTCACAGCATTTCAATCAAATGATTTCATAAGCAATTGCGAGCGATATCTATGATATTCTCGTACAACAAAACGTTATCATTAGGCTTTTGAAACTAATTAATTTTGAAATTTAATTTCTACCGAAAGTAAGTTCATTAGAATCAGTATTAATATATCCGTGAAATGATGTTAAACTGAATGCTCTGCTATTTATTAAGTTTAGTTCAAACCTAAGCCATGGATATGACACTGTGTGTGAAATATTGCACTCAATATTAATATTGAAATTCTGTTATCAAAACTAAACTAACTTTATACAGAATCTAGGATTAACACTAAATTAATTATTTTTAAACATAAACATGAAATCGAGTGAATTTTAAAAAATTAAGATTTTTATTTATTTATTATTATTATCCAAAACTTAAAATAAAAAGTTTAAAGTTCTTTCTTTTTTATTTAAATAATGTTTTTTGAAATAACATTTTTGTATGTTTCAAAAAATAACTTATACAATTAGTTATATTTTAATAAAATTTGATCTGTCCATACATTGTCTATGCATTTGTATGGAGTGAATGACAAAACAGTTTTTGTAAACAATAAGACATTTGACATGAAATGCATTGACAAAGACATGGGTGGATGTGCTGGTGATGTCTAACCATCTGTTGTTATCACTGTTTAGGACGTGTTTCTGATGATAAGACGCAAGAAGATGACTGTCTTCTTGGACGCCAAAGAGACCACTTCTGTCATCGACTTGAAGCGAATGATCGCCGGAATCACGAAAACACTTCCAGAGAATCAAAGACTTTTCAAAGACGATGAGGTGATGGACGACCGGAAGTCACTGACGGACTATAACCTGAACCCCACGACAGCCAAAGCGCAGTCGCCGGCCACCATCGGCCTGTCCTTCAGAGACGGTATGTGTGTTGTATTAGTGATGATCTGATGGGATGTCTGATTGTGGTATTGGATGTGCAGAGAACGGGAGGTTTGAGACGCTGGAGATCACGTCGCTGTCAACGCCACCGGAACTGCCAGATGTGATGAAGTCTCCAGAAACTCAATGTCAAACTCACGATCAAAGTGTCAATTGATTGCTGAACACCAGAAAAGCTGACATTTTTAGCATTACTTATGAATTGTTTAATCCTTTTCGATGAATGCCTACTATTTTCGTCATTAATACTAACAACACGTCTATTAAACACAAAAAAGTATTCATAAAAATTTAATTTCAATTACTATTAAAACCGTTTTTTGTTTTTACCATTATTTAAGATCTAATCATATTTTTAAAGCTAGAAAACGTAGACTAAATTTTTTCAATTAAAATCTCTTTTATGAATGCTTTCAATCAATAAGTGATAACTTTGTAATCCAGTGCTTAAAATAACGCAATTTGGGTTCAATGTAATAATTGAACGTAAGTTTAAATTTTGGTTATTCACTGGGCTTTACATTTGTAGTAATTATTATATTAGATAAGAAACTAATTTAACAAAATATAGCAAATTATTATACAATTATTATTATTTTTGTTGTCTTAATATGATTTGTTATTTCTCTGTCCACTTATACAGTAATTAACTTATGTTTTAAATCACACAAAATTAACATAATTTTTACAGCTTTTTGATAATTTATTTTCCCCTCCAATTCTGAAAATAAGTTTCTGATTATTTAATATAAAATTAAGTTTTAAATAAATATAATGAACAATGTCTCAAACAAAAGGTAACTTTTTTAAAGCCAACTTATTTCCCTGACACTTTTAAGACAATATTTAAGTGATTGCGGTATTAATTGCAGAATTGAATTCATTTCAAGTATTGGCCACTAATTATAAATGAGTGCCTCTTTTGCTGTCTTTTATAACAATTTATGTCATACTTATAATTGAGAAGAATTTCATAATAATTATCGTAACAATTGTTAATTTTTAGTTAATACTCATTGTTTATGTTATTTTGAATTCACTCCTTTGAATTGAATGAATTGATTATTTAAATGTTAGCTTCAGTTATGTATTATCAATATTTTGGAGAATATATATAAAACATTCAACAAATTATTTGTTAAATTCAGTGACAGAAACGGACAAAACAAATAATATAATCACAAAAACATTACATTTATTTGATTATTATTGAAAAACACGTCAATTCTATTTAATACCACATATTTTTGTTGTTTTTAGACTTTAGTTTAGTCTTAACTATATTTTGGTCAACATTTTAAATATAGTTTATTTTAAACACCACTTAAAGCAAACCAAATTTTATTAAAATATAACTAATTGTATAAGTTATTTTTTGAAACATACAAAAATGTTATTTCAAAAAACATTATTTAAAACATTATTTAAATAAAAAAGAAAGAACTTTAAACTTTTTATTTTAAGTTTTGGATAATAATAATAAATAAAATAAAAATCTTAATTTTTTAAAATTCACTCGATTTGATATTTATGTTTAAAAATAATTAATTTAGTGTTAATCCTAGATTCTGTATAAAGTTAGTTTAGTTTTGATAACAGAATTTCAATATTAATTTTGAGTGCAATATTTCACACACAGTGTCGTATCCATGGCTTAGGTTTGAACTAAACTTAATAAATAGCAGAGCATCCAGTTTAACATGATTTCACGGATATATTAATACTGATTCTAATGAACTTACTTTTGGTAGAAATTAAATTTCAAAATTAATTAGTTTCAAAAGCCTAATGATAACGTTTTGTTGTACGAGAATATCATAGATATCGCTCCCAATTGCTTATGAAATCATTTGATTGAAATGCTGTGAAAAAGACTTCACGACTTCATTGATAAGAATGTGATGTAAATGCATAGGAAATCATAGGAATAGTGCATAACATAAGAAATATGAATAAAGTGTCGATTCATGAGGTTTTTGAGGCAATCATATGATCGACGGATTGAACGCTTTATTTACACGAATGTGTTGTGAAAGCAGTGATCGATTGGTTACTAATTAATGCAATCCTAACGACAATTGGTGTCCAAAATGCTATTATTATTGTTAGCATTGGTTTTGTTGATAGCCTTATGCGTGACAATAGTGTATGCATTGGTGTACTTCGGCTTATTTGACGAGATAGTGGTGAGGGTTGGGTCGCCTCCCTATCTCTTCGGGGGTCAGCCCATCGCCTACAAGAAGCTGAAGTCGTGTTATTCGGACGCATCGGCGCTGTTCACCGAAGTCTGTTCAATAGTTCCCAGTCTTCACACGTTTGGCATATACTTAGACGAACCCAATGACCACAACCGCA